TATATAGTTTTGTTGTAATTTTGCTTTTAAAATAGTTTTGTCATTTATCATTTTATATATTTTTTGTTCAATTTAGCTACCGTCAGAACTGCTATATTCTTGTAGATGTTGTGTATGAATGAGATGGAGCTGTTCTCACACTGTCATAAAACTTTCTGCACAGCACTCTAGTGACATTGTCAGCCATCAGGCTTTTTGAAGAAAACCTCACCTTTATTAAATAAACAACGAGTTTATATTTAGAATGTTTGTTGCATTAATTGAGAGGTTTTCAGTTTCTAATATCTTTTTCTTGTGTAGGTATCGTTGACTGGAAGTCTGTCGTTCCTGATGTGGAGTTCGAGCTCACCAGGTGTGATGGGTGTGGATGCATCTACTGGATACTGTGGCATCAGAATAAAGGAGGTGTTTCCAGCGTTCTATTCTGACAGAGTTTGATGGCTTCTGTTCTGGCTGGGACTAGGCTTGCCGCGATAGACGGTGCTGACGGTGATACCGGTGTTAAGCCGCAACACCGGTTACGTCACTTTCCCACCGCGGCACCGACCCCCACCGTCGTTTTGATTTTTTTTTATAGTAATAAAAATAATTTAGTTCAGTAATAGAACAGACACTACAATTAAAAACTGAACGTGGCTGCTCAATGCAGCGTGCAGAACGACAGTCGCATCACAGATCAGATTTAATTTCTCCAGTGAGGAGAGTGAGTCGAGCTAACTGACAAGAAGAGTGAGAAAGAACTAGCGGTGACGAAAGCCGACGGTGTTGTCACCTCGCGTCAGCAGCGTCGGGCCAAAAAGCTGCGCTCGAACACACCGCACAGACTACAGCCGACGGCAAACTAACACGTGCGTTCTGCGCATGCGTGAGAGGAATTAACTGTCTATATCAGCAGCTATCAATAGTATATATTCGTCATTCAAGAGGAGAAACCGAAACAAAGATATACGAGTTAACGCAGATATACGAAATGTAAACAAAGCAGCGCTTGCTTACCATTTTGAATATCAGTAACGTTGATAACTTTAATAATTTTAAGCGGCTCATGTTATGAAAACATTCGTGTATTAGAATGATTGGGAAAGATCACGTAACATTTAACCAGCCTTCTGTCTGTACCGCTTTCATTTA